CAAGATCATTAGGGCGGACTGCTCGGAGCTCCTCCTCAGCTGTCCTCGACGTCCTTTCGAGGAAAACCGCGCCTTGGGAGTGCGTGCACCGTAGGCGCGGTTTGACGTCATGTCTCGCGCGCGCGTGGCAGCCGGCTCTTCCTTCCTCCGCTATCGGGTCCTCTCTGCCGATTTCCCGTTGCGCGAAACGCACGCCGGCTTTCCCTTTGTTGTGGGTTCCAGGATGAGGTGACACCTGCCGTGTCTGCCTGTGTATTGAGCCTTCCCCGACACGCGGCCGCTTGCCGAGTCGGTTGGCTGCTCACGCTGCGCACTTTCTCGTCGTCACCGTCATGTTCGGGCCTGTCGTGTCGGGTGTTCCGCAGTCGGTGTTGCCACTGCAACTGATTAATCGGCAGCTCTTCCGATTCATCGATGAAAGCCACAAGGTTTTGTTTGTTTCAGATATATCTGCAGCAAGCTGCGCTCCACAAATGAGCTCCCATTATTCGGGGTTGGTCGGATCAGTGATAACCAGTTGCGATTAACTTTAGTCTAAAATGCTTGAAAGGTTCGGTCCGCTTTTTCGTGCGTTGCACTCGGGACAAGATATATGTCGTGCTATGAGCAAGGATATTTTGGGAGATAAGCGTTATACCGAGGCGCTAGATGGTTTCAATATAAAAACGTCACCTTATTTCCAATTTTATTTCTCAACAAAAAATCAAAACGCGAGCAGGCAAAAAAAAAAAAAAAAGTGGGAAAAAGAAAGACGGACACAGGTATGTCCGTCCTTTCTTTTTCCCAGTCTCGAGGTACTTTTACTATGTTCATCCCTCTTCCTTTAGTTATATTGTGACCCCCCCCCCCCCCCCCCCCCCCCTTCGAAAAAAAAGAGATCTTTGCTTTTCTTTAATCTCCAAGATGTCTTAGCTTGGAAATCAACATTCACTGCACAGTAGTTTGTAAACTGATATTGTCTGGTTTGACAATGCTTGTAGTTCTTTTTATTTTATTTTATCGTTCTTCTGATTTTCCCCTTTGAGTTTGTCTTCTGTAAACTGTCAGCGGGACTATTTTGGAAAAAGAGAAAATTAATAAGTAACAGTCGTGTTCAACGAGTATTGCCTATTCTGAAGGATCTATCGATCTCCGCTGATCTTTCTTCCAGCAACATTGGCGGTCACTATATTTTGGGCAGCGCGAAGCACGTGATTGAATTCGAGGCCACAGCAACGCATCACTCGCTGATAAACTGCCCTCTTAACATCCTCGGGCGCAGCGAAATGATAGTGCTTCGTCGCAGAGGCGACGGTGACGAAATCCTCGACTGCGTTTACGTAAAGCGCTTTGGCCCCCTTGCCTGCTTGAAACGGGGCGGTTGCGATGGGGACAGTATATAATTCAAGGGCGCTTTGCCTGTCGACGGAAGCCTAGTAGTCGCGCGCATTATTTTCCATTCGGCGGTTATCGTCGCTGATGGCGTAAGTGTGTAAAATGCTACGTGCATCGTTGTGACGTCTTTTGTGTAGGTGTATCGAGATCGCGCCGTCGGAAGGGAAAACACGGTCCGGCCTAGGGACGGCGGCGTGTTTTTGGCCTCAGATGGCCTTGACGCTTATCCATGTTCCCATCATCCGCAACAGTCTTTTCTTGTTAAAAGTCGTAACCATATCATGACTTTTTTCTTTTTTTTAATCGAAGATTAGTAAATTTTTGACATTAAAAGTTTTGGCTAGGTGGCACAAGCCACCGCGCGATTAAAGGGTTCAGCCGTACTGTATCCATCCATCCATTATTGCACTGCTATCGTATTCATAATGCGCGTTTGATTAAGAAGGAAGTGCAGAAAAAAAAGTAGTTCCAGTGTAGGAATGGTGCTGCCGGTGCGCCGCTAATGCAGTTCCGCTGCGCTAGCGCCGCCTAATCGAAAAAAAAAAAGTACTTTCTCCTCGCGCTGTCGTCTGCTATCGTCGTCTGCCATCATGCGCCCGCCTACACCGCCAAAACGAGCGGATGCAGGAAGTGTACGTCAGGTGTAGAAATGGTGCTACACTTCTGTAAATCAAAGAGCGCGGTGCAGACCCTTAGGGCTGCACCCTCAAATCGAATGCGCTCGGGGCCGACGCATGATAACGCAGTCGCGAAACATCGTAACATTTCCCACGAGCTCTTGCAGAGAGATGCTTTTGCGAATGCCCTTCTGTGGAAGAAAATGGCTGTAAAACCGTTACTAATGAAAGCGAATCGTGCATGGGTATGTCAGCGGTTGCCGGGTGCTGGCGTTTCGTTAATTAGTAATGCGTTCCGTTAGGTTGTGATGAAAATGAAATAACGTTTATTTAACTGGGTTAATTTTGATTACATGAATACGTCTCTTTCGCGTCCTTTACGTGGCGTGCATCGGTTCGTGCTTTCGACGAGGCGATCTTCGTGGCTGGTGCTGTGGGCAATGTTCAGTTCTCCAAATCTTGAACGTGCGCTTTCCCACGGACCCTGAAAGGGAGTTGAAGTCGAACTTGATCCTACGCGTTGTGGATATACATTACACGTCACGTGTGAAAGCACCGCGTAGTCTGAGGCTGAACAAGCTGGGCTAGCTAACAAGTAGTCGTCGAGGCAGCGCCGACTGAAGATACAGTGTAGTGTTTCGAAAGGCAGCGCAGGTGCACCAGCTTTTTCTGGCTGTGCATTTGTATTGAACCCGTTGCTTGTGCGTGACCGCGAGCACCCGCAGGACGTTGGCACTTGCTGACCTTGGTTCGCCCTTGGCGGTCTCGCAGCTCTGTCGGCCGTCTGTCGAGGGAGGCGGCTCGCGTCGAGTCACGGAGTTCTCGACGCCCGTTGAAAGCTAGGCGACGCCAGCCTGGCCTTCCCGTGTCGCGCCTTCTGCGTCTTTTCAGGGCACTCCTGGCGCAACTTCCCCTTTGCGTGAGCTGTCTTGGCGGTGATGATTCGGGTGACAACAATGGCCTCGGTGCGTGCAGGCACGTTCGCCCCTGGCACGTGGCCAGCGCAGGATGGCGTCTTGAATTACTCCTGACGAAATCGAACACTCCCAAGACTGGGACACGCAACGGCGACATTGTTTTTCTTTGCCCCTGTTATTTATAAGCTTATTGAGGTCATTGCTCGGGGTTGCTGTGGGTTCGGTTTCTTCCGATCTTAGCGGTGCCGTCTTGCGTTGGATGTTTCAAAGCTTGATCTACTTGGGTATGGGTGGTATTATTAATCCAATGTGATTGGTGCAGTGAAACGTACGTAGAATTCGATTCGCTCTGGCGCGTTTATTCATGTATAATACGGACACCGATGAAAACAAGTGAAAAGTAGTCGAAACTAGTAGTGCATAACGTTTATAAAAGCCTGTAGCCAATGCAAGCGGCAAACAACGACTGTCTGATAGGGCTGTCTGTCACGGGCGCTAACTCCAGCGTCTGCTGAGCGTTGGTTTGAGCGCACGCGCCCGCTTGAGTCCCCGTGACTACGCTGGGCAGGCGACAGAAGCAACAGAAGCTCGGCAGATCCTTTGTCAAATTCGAAAGTGCGCGCAGCTTGGCTTCTCCGCGAGCGACTAGGGTTTGTATCCCTGTTTTTTTTTCCCCGCATTTATCGAGTTTCCGGTACGAAAAAATACGGCATGTAAATCTTGACACTTCATAGCTCGATATACTCTGACCGGTGGTTGGGGCAGCGAAGAGCAGATATAATTCATGAATGCTCATTTCAACTGTAAATAAAATTTCTTTCTCTCCCTCAAACATTATCAAACTCCACAGCCTCTTCTTTTCTCATTCCGATGGAAGCAAGCTTCAAGAACTCGCGCGTTCGAGAAACGTGTTATGAAATGAGCACACAGCAGCATTTAGGATTTACGAGATTGTAGGAAAATAAAATCCCGTGACGCGATTTTTTTTTTTTTGCACAGCCTTCCAATTCTTTTTTTTTTTGTGCAAGCCGCGACCAGTGAAATACTGGTTCCTATGTCAAGATTCATGGATGCAGCGTTTGTCAAGATTCATGGATGCAGCGTTTATATTCCTAAGACTGAGTGGAGAAGAAAAATATGTAAGCGAGGTGTGTGTCAGGTGACGGCACTTAAAAAACAAATGGCATTGATAGCACATTCGTTGTCAACATCGCTTGGCCGAACCGTTTTGACATGAGTCGGTAACCGTTATTTTTTTTCCGGTTCAGTTCCGGTTCGGGTTCATCGCGATAACAATATAACGGTTCGGGTTCAGTTCCGGAAAAAATACCGGTTCAGTTCGGTTCCGGTTCGACACCCTGATATATATATATATATATATATATATATATATATATATATATATATATATATATATATATATATATATATATATATATATATATATACTTCCATTTTTTTTTTTAAATACAGTTGTTAGTGCGCCAGTGTTCGTCTTTTTAGCGCCTTTAGGCATGGTTCAAAACAGTCATCACCAACTAGCCCCACAAGTACTTTACATTTGGCTTTGGAAACAAGATCTTAAATGCTCCTAGTTCAATAAAATTGCAATATAACATTGCCCAATATGTATTACATAATACTCCATTTCATATTAGTATTGACAAGCACTGAAAATTATGGGTGAAAACAAATGGCTTCTTGTTCGTACACTGGAATCATTGACTTCCGCATATCCCTGCATATCCCTTATACACAAACTCAACTCTGATGTCACGCCACTGCGGTGGCACTACTGTTGGTGGTGCACGTGCACAGACGCTTAATCTCGCACAAATCTGGTTTGTGCGCACGCACAGTGCCCATACCTGGTGTGGACAAACACAGACCTGTTTGTAAACAGCGTGTTGGTCTATAAGAGGAAATAGAATTTTGTAACATATATTGAACAAACATGGATTAAATTGGGCTTTCATTAATTTGTTACTCTTACTCATATGCAGTGTTTCTACTGTATCCCTTTATTAGGTAAAAATGATAGTTTGTCAGCTGTTTGGATTCTTTAAGCAGTGTTCCTTGTTTTCAATTGCAGGTGGAGGCTCTTACACGCGAGCTCGAACTTCCCAATGATGTCCTCCTCAAAGTTTCTGCAAAGCTTCTGGACGAGTTTAACAAGGGTCTTGGAAGAGACACACAAGAGTCTGCCGAAGTAAAGATGTTCATGACCTATGTTCGAGACGTTCCTAATGGCACAGGCAAGTCCTGAACATAGTTTCTATAATTGTGGCAATGGCCTGCCTTTTGTACCAACTGCTGTATTTCTAATTTTTGTTTGGTTTTTGTCATTCAGAGACTGGTACTTTCCTGGCATTAGACCTGGGTGGGACCAATTTCCGGGTCCTACTGATTGACATTGATGGAGACCGGTTCAGCATGAAAAATGAAATCTATGCCATTCCTCAAGAGATTATGCTGGGAACGGGCGAGCAGGTCAGTTTCCATCACCTTTTAACACAGAATGTGTTTTATCAGAGGATTTTCATGGAGTTCTGCAACGGCCGGCTGTAGTGGTCGGTCGTAACAAAAAACCGACATTGAAAAGCGTTACGCCTATAGGGAACTATATAAAGAGTTCCTCTCCAGGATTTGAACCCGCCACTTTGATATTGTGTGCCAGTTGCTTTGCCGACTGAGCTATCCAGGGTTGTTGGCACGCAAGAGCGAGCTCATTCGTGCAGCGTGTGGATGAGCTCTCACGTAGTAGCGCCATCTCGCGGCGTATGTCAGAAATGGCAGCGAATCTTCGATAAGCTGTGCCGTTGACTCCTTTCTCTTTTTCCCTGGAAGTCCTATCACACATTCTGTGCTTACCAGTCTTTGCCAGCATGATCAAGCTTGTTTAATTTTTTGTTCTGTTTATCTTTTGTGACGAAAGATTGCTTGTCTTTTCAGCTTTTTGATCACATAGCTGACTGTTTGGCCAAATTCATGGACAAGTACAAGGTTAAGTCCAAGACACTGCCCCTAGGTTTCACATTCAGCTTTCCGTGCAGACAGGAGGGTCTCACTAGTGCACGTCTTGTAACCTGGACGAAAGGCTTCAAATGCTCTGGTGTCGAAAATCAAGACGTGGTTCAGCTGCTGCGGGCTGCGATTGCTAAAAGAGCGGTTAGTTCATTCCACCTTTGTGTCTCCCGACGGAATATAACGAGCTTTTTGTCTTTCAGGACATAGACATTGACGTAATGGCAGTCGTCAACGATACTACTGGAACACTTATGTCCTGTGCTCACAAGAACAAGCAATGTAGACTTGGGCTCATAGTTGGTGGGTAGCATTTGGATCATGTTCTAGTGACTATCTCGACATGGACAAGCCTTAACACCACACTGTTTATGTTGTCCAGGGACTGGAACAAACGCATGTTACATGGAGAAGCTAGAAAATGTAGAGCTCTGGGATGGAGACTATGATGAACCTCGTCAGGTCATCATCAACACGGAGTGGGGTGCGTTTGGTGATCATGGCACACTGGAGTTTGTGCGCACACGCTATGACCGGGAGATTGACCAAGCCTCTCTCAACCCCGGAAAGCAGCTGTGAGTGATCTTTTCATTTGGGTCGGAGACTGCTTTCACAGTAATTATATCTTGGAAAAAGGCACATTTCAGAGGAGTCAAATGAACTATGCCTATCAAGAAGGAGGCTGTATTCAAGACCAAGGCAACACATTTGTCAGACTTATACAGGATCTTTTTGAAACGTGAGCCAGATCGTTGTTGTGAAAAGCATGCATTCCACAGAAAAAAGCTTAATGTCATGCTGGTTTTTGCCAAAGGGCCCATTTGGGGAAATTAATAATGTTTGGTAAAATTAGTTTATTCATTACTTTCGAGTATTTAACTTTGTAATTGGTAAATTTGTAGGTAGAGCCCTGCATGTTCACGGATAACCTGCAGATTATCTGCGAATATCCGCACTGAACTGGCAGGTATGGATAAAAATAATTCAGATTTGTCGGATTGTGGATTGGATACGAAAGCCAGGGGCTACAGATGCGAGTTGGATGCGGAAAAACAAATTATATCTCGTGATTCAGTCGCCGACTTCGACTAAACAGATCATAACCCAAAAATCGTAAAAATGGAGTGGAGTTGCCCTTTAAAGTAAATGTTGCTAATTCAAAATAAGTATATATTAAAATGTCCTTCCTTTTGAGCGTACATTCTGGGCAGGGTGTCGCAGACTCCCAGGACGATATCATAACTGCAATCGTATTTATACCAACGCAAAGTGAGTGTGGAAGGATTATCCCTTATAATATAAATACGATAAAATGACTCGCCATATTTTGACTCCGAGTGTTTGTACATATATAAGCCAACTGCTTATTAGATACCATCCAAATATATATATATATATATATATATATATTTTTTTTTTATGTGCATTTGATTTTATGATGGAACACGAACATGTGGAATGCGGGTCTCATGCTGTTCCGAATTTTGCTGTTGCGTTTCGGATGCAGATACAAAGCATGCGGATCGGATGCAGACGCATGGTCTGCAGATGCAGATCAGATGTAAATTATTGCACTGTTATCCATGCAGGGTTCTATTTATACCCGCCGGGCAATGAAGTTTGTTTTCACAAGTCTCGCCATCTTGTGGGGAATTTTTGCGATTCTGAGATTGTCCGCGGCCACGATCATTGAACCCAATGTTGTGCTCAAATCTCCAAGCCACGTTCTGAAATGCAACGCAGTGCTTGTGTTCAGTCACGCAGTGCCATGGCTTTCCCAGAGTTGCCCTTTAAACCTAGAAACGCATCCAAATAGTGTTTTCTCAGAACGCTGTAAGATGCTGTGCATGCCCTCTATATTTCTAGCATAAATTGATTTAGTGGTTTTTGATGGTCCTCGACAAGTTTATAATTGAAACCATACCTAAGTAACTAATAAACTAATTATGCCGAACATTCCTTATTTCTGAAATGGGCCCTTTGGCAGAGACCAATATGACATTAAAATTTCTTTGTGCAATGCATACTTTTCGCATGAACGTTTTGGCTCGCGTTTCGAGAAACAACTTTTACATGTCTGACAAATCTGTTGTCTTGTCTTGCATGCAACATCCCTCCTGATAGGCATAGTTCATTTGACGTTTTCAACAGCAGAGACACTGTATGAGAAGTGTGTTAACAGTTTCACATTTTTTTTTGTTTTTCTCTAGGTTCGAGAAGATGATTTCTGGGATGTACATGGGCGAGCTTGTGCGGCGGGTGCTTGTGCATCTGGCCCAGCAGAATTTGATATTTGATGGGAAACTGTCGGAAAAAATGAAGACTATCTACTTATTCAAAACCAAGTACATCTCCCAGATCGAAAGGTGTGTGCTGGTTGATGAAAAGAGGCAAAGTGCAATTCCTTGAAATGTCTACTGGATTCTGCAGGGTAGTTTATTTGTTTGTTTTTTTCACGCCTAGACTGTGAACCTGAGGCGGGTGATCAAAGCTTCTTAACTTTTTCTCCTCTTATAACTGATAGAAGTAAATAAAATGAAGATGGCTGGCGCTATAGCGGCGCCAGCTGCTTCTTCACAACCCAAATTCACCCGGGATTAGTACACGTCACACTAAAGAAGTGCCTGTCAATTTGAGTGCAGTGACAATGGTCAGTCTTGAAACTAGTGTTAACCCACTCTTGCCTCCACCTGTTGGGTTGCAGGCATCGGGCAGCAATGTTTTTCAGTAAAAGCTGATGTATTTTTGTTTTTGCGAGGATTTTTCCGCATACATTAGATTTTTCTGTATTTAATGCTAGCTTTTCATACTTCTACTTTCCCTCGGAGCACATTGAAGCCAATTATTGCAGCATGAATGTTGGCACTCGAAAATAGAATCTGTGCTGGGATTTTGCTCTTATGAGCATCAATTTCATTGTCCCAACATGAACTGCATTTTCGGTGGCAAAACATTTTCGGCACTTAGTCATTTGCTGTTGCTCTTCGGTGAATGGCAGTTTTATGCTGTGCAGAAAAACTTGGGTGCACAAGCCTCGTTTGTAAGGTCCGTTGCGTCTGTGGAAAAATAAGGGCATCATTGGCATAAAATGGGAAGTGCCATGGCCTCGGAAGGCTTGCATTGCTATTGTTCTGGGCGTGTCAGTGTATAAATGTGAGTTTCCTGTGCAGTGATGCCCGTGGCGAGTACGACGAGGCACGGAATGTGATGGTCAAGATGGACATGGTGGCCACTGACGAGGACTGTGAGTGCCTGAAGCTTGTGTGCTCACGTGTGTCCTCCCGAGCAGCCCACCTGGTTTCGGCTGCTGTGGCCACCATTCTCAACAAGATGAAACGCCCACATACGACTGTTGGAGTTGACGGTTCGGTCTACCGGTTCCATCCACGCTTCCACTTTCTCATGGAGGCCAAGATTGCAGAGCTGGTCAACCCCCAGTACAAGGTGAGGCTGCCTTGTCAGTGTATTCTGGTGGCTTACATTGTGTAGGCTATATGAGTGAAAAATGCTAACCGAATCTCAAACAGTAAAATGGGGCCAGGATAAACTCTTTATTCATAAATTGAAATGGGCAGCAATTGTTTCGTCGTCCACGTTCAAAATAATTTTAAGAATTCTTTCGACGTCCGTTGCGCCACTTTCTGAAGACGTGAGAATGTCTTCGAGATTATTTTGATGTTTCCCGTCAAAATGTATATTTTTTTATTATTTTCACATTTCGAATTTGGAACTTTGGAGCTTCGGAGTCCGGACTGGAAAGTGATAGAAAGTGACAGAAAGTGGCGGCCAAAAAAGATATAATCTTGCTTGCAGGCTGTGCCGCGGCTTGACACACATGTTCCTAAAACAAATATTGTGCAGTCGATTGCAGTTTGTATGACCTCTTAAGAAATAGGGAATGCAAAAAAAAAAAAAAAGACTTCTCAGCGTACTGTAAATCACCTTTCATGCTGCACGTAAAAATTGGCTTTGTTTTGCTAAACATTAGAGAATGTGGTACTATGGTTTTTCACGCTTTATTTAGTGTGCTTTATAAAGACAGAGGGGCTGAATCTCAAAATTTTTATATCTTGTACAACTGCAGCACAGACTGCTATATGAGAATCTTCTGCTCGGTGCACCAGAATCTTTGTTGTTCATTTGCACCAGTCAACAAACCTCAAGGAGACAATGTTCACATTCACATTTTATTTAACATTCAAATTATTTCGTAGTTAACCCGCTAATTATACACAAAAAAAAAAAAAAAAAAAATTGCACAACAAACTTGCGAATCCTGCAAGTTGTTGGCAATTTTTGAAAGAGAGCCTTGTAAATGAAGCTAAGACAAGAAAAATGCTACCTGCACTGGGATACTGAACATATTTCACATACCCAGAATCCAGTGCAGATTATATTTTTGGTGAAAAGCACTTCTCCTTCTAACTCGTACTAATTCACTAAATCAGAATGATGCATCTTAAGTGTGCTCTTCAGACTAGTTGATACTGGGTCTTTCATAAGCAATGCTCAAATTATTTGAAGCCATGAAGTTTCTATTCCAAGAATGGATACATGCAGCTTGATGAGGCTGCTTGTTTGCTTGCTTTGACAGTGATTAATGCAGTACCGGTTTGCTGGAAATAAGCAGAACAGTTGAAAATATTTGTGGTTGAAACTGTTTTGTTGTTCTCTTCTAGTTTGACTTGATGCTTTCCGAGGATGGCAGTGGTCGTGGGGCAGCCTTGGTGGCTGCTGTTGCTGTACGTTCGAAGAAGAAGTGAAATTGCTGACCAGCATCCAGTCCCTCCCAAAGCTACACAGTTTGTCTGTTGTGAGAAATTATTTTTGGACCCTTCATTGAAATTGGGATGAAGACACATGGTGTTTGTGGTTTTGGAATATGCGACTGGGCAGTAGACGGTGGTGCTGAGAAGCTCGTTTCTTCGAGCATTTTAACCCATTTTTATATCGGCAGGTTCACTCTAAATAAAAAAAAAGGGAGGAGGGGGGGAACACAGTACCACAAAGGACACTATGTTTTTTTTTTCTACTGTGTGTGTTGGGTCGTTACTACCAAGCAGAGCGCCCTGAGAAAGTTTGCAATGGAGTGTTGAAATGAGAAAACAGTTTGGAGTGTGGTTTTAGACGAGAACGAGAAGTTGTCACCTTACATCTCTGCAGTCAGGCGGTGTACAAGCTCTCTCGGACAAAACTGCTTGCAAAGATGTTGCACCTTGCCGCAGGGCTTCTTGCGTAGGCAATCGTGTTTTTTCTGATTGTGTGCAATCTCAGGCTCTATGAACACTGGTGCCTGTAGCATAATGTGTTTCATGGAGTAAATAGCTTTTGTGTTAGGACCAATGTGGCACCAGAATTCTTTCAACTCATTCACGGCAGCTGTGCTGGTTGGATGTAGTGAAGCTCTGAGGTGGACGGAGGTGCCTCTTGGGGTGGCAAGGTGCCTAGTCATGGAGTGCATTTTAGGCTGACTTATACTCGTTCGGACATATTGGATAAGGTGGTGCTATAGCGTGTACATTATTTTAGAGGATTCCATCTTGCCGCTAGAACGGATTTTAGTTTATTTTAAAATTGTTGCAATTCCGAGTCTTGTCATGTGTACAGTTAATTTAAACCTGCAGTCATCATGTTGAGACCTTTTCGTAGTGTCTGACACATTATCTTCATGTTGTTATCTTTTGTGTACCTGTGGTGCTTCGGTAGTGGTAGGATAGCAGCTGATATTCTGTAGGGATGCTCGGAATTGTTTCTGGCAAAACATTCCAGAACAAAGCATAACTGCAAGCTAGCTTTCAGGTTTTGCGTATCCATCTGGTAGAGGAAACTTGTGAGATTCAAACGCCCAGGACACTCTTTCATGACATGTTTCACTGGCATCGAGAGATTTTGCTTTGATTCTGCCCATCTTTTTTTTGGGGGGTTTTGGCAATGTTTTAAGACATGTTCCCAGGGTGAATTTGAGGCTTGCCTGTTTTTCTCGCTTTCATAGCTAAAGCTTGAAATTTTGGAGCCATTTTTACATCTCCGGAGGCTGAAGTTTCAATTCGAGAAGAAATTGGCCTGGTTTCTGTTTACACACTATTTGCCGGTGTCCAGAAAATGTTTGCGTAATGTGAAGAGTTAAGCACCAGGCGGCATTTTCGTTATGGTTTTCACATCTGTTGTATTTGTGCGCAAGGTGCGTAGCTTCTGTATTTGCATTCTATGAGCTTTCTTGCAGTTGTGACATGGGCCTCTTTTGAAATTTTAATGGCCTGTATATAGCTTAGTGGTGTAGTTATGTAGTTTTGAACGTTTCTTTTTCTTCTGTGCAGAATAGCACTAATAACTTGTTTGCTCTCATGTAGACTCTACCATTAAATATTATGACCGAGTTTTTTTTAATGTTTTTGTGAATATTACTTTTCATAGGTCTTGCCATAAATTGTTAATTATTATGCAATGTACATGCATTGTTCAATTTATTGAACATTGTCCAATAAAGCCAGTACAAACTGATCTGACTTGCAGTTGTGAATAGCTGACTTGAAATGGTTGCCTATGGTTGTGCAGCACTTTGATCTGATCGGCTCTAGGGCAAGGCTGGTAAATTGAGGTGCCATGAAATGTGTGCTTGAAGTACTGCTAGGGACTTCCTCTTGATGCCACTCTCTAGATCAGGAGTTACAAACTACAATTGGCCCCTTTTAGCAGCCTTGCAGTTGTGACGGTTTGTCTCCACACTCATGTAAAAATATATAACAAAACAACGACATTTTAGTTAATTAACCCATTTCACTTCTGGTGGCTGTCATGGCCACTAACTTGGCCCCAAATACAGCCTCGGAGCCAAAAAAAAACTTATGAAAGTTTTTTTTTTTTTTTTCTTAATTCGGTATTGGCTAAAAAAAAACATCCCTTGATATGTAGATCTGTCCCGATAATACACGAAGATTGGGTGAAACGTCTTGCGGCCACATGTGAAGGACCCAAGGTGAGATCGCAAAATATGGTTTTAGAGCTCTACTCTGCATACTGCCCGCTAAGTTCTACCTGAGTGCGAAGTGCTGTGCTCAAATGGTGGACATGAATCAATATGGAGGGCTCCAGCATTAAGAAACTTTGCGAATCTTCTTGTGATCCGTTGCTTGTCGAAGAGATTAATGCCAAACAAGATCCACGCAGACATGCGGGAAACATTGCAGGACACCGCTCCACATTACGTGGCAGTGATGCAGTGGAAACATTTTTAAACAGTACAGGCATCTACAGGAAAAGTCATTGCATCCATTTGACGCTGACGGCATCCTGGTGATCGATTGTCTCCACAAAGTCCAGACAGTGCTGTGTATTGATTCTTGTAAAAACGTTTAATTAAAAACCGTTGCGAAAAAAAAAAAAAAAAGTTTTGGAAAGCTGGAGCATGGTACCATTATCCTTTGCCACTGCACTCCATTGCTTGCAAGCAATCGGCGCCTGTGGCTTCGAACTGATACTGCAACCTCCTTATTCTCTGACCCCCACACCATCAGGCTTTCACTTGTTCCTCATTATGAAGAAAGGCCTTAAAGGAGCTGTGCAACAATTTCAGTGCTTTACTTAAAGGGCAACTCCGCTTCATTTTTGATATTTAGAAAACTATGTAGCCCTCTTCAGTATCACATAGGAAGACCCCATGTCAAATATTACGATCTAATTCCGTCTATATATTTAATAAACTCGCCAGCGAACCTTCAAGCGAGCCAAGTCGCCGAAATCAGCCAACTCTAGCGTGCGGCGCGAGGCGCAATCATCAGCGCAGTCAAATGCCACGGAATTGGAGCGGCCAACGTTGAACCACTACGTCAGAGGCATGCATACTTCATTCTCACGTTTTGCTTGTTTTTACTTTTCAGAGCGAAATTTAACGATGACGTCATGAGTTTCTCCTCCCGGTGTTGGCTGACCGGGCGTTCCCGTGATCACCGCTGCCCTGCGCGCTTATCGGTCTGTTTCTCCGCTCCCCTTCTCCTCTTTCGTCTTCTCCCCTTCCCCCTCTCCCCCGGGCCATCACCGTCCACGCCATGCGAAGCGACCCGCCCGCGTCCAAAAAAAGAAGAAAAAAAAAAAGGACCTGCCCGCGTCGCGTGTCCTGTTTCTCGCTCCCTCCCGAACGTCACAAGACCACGTGGTTCGACGTGAGGTGCCCATGACTGTGACGACCCGAGACCAATGTTGCCTGACGCAACCGAAGTTTCGGTTTCGGTATCTGCTGATGTTTAAATTAGGATTACACAAATATTATTCCACATTTCGCGAATCCGAAGACGTAGAGTTGTTGAGTATTACTTTGTGAATGTGAATCACATGGAAGCCTAAATTTTTCGAAATTGAGCGGAGTTGCCCTTTAAATAATTTGGGAGTTGGTGTCTCGACCTTTCTGAAGTAAAGAACGAAAAATCGCTTTTGCCTGCATGTCCTAGTTTTTATTTTAGAAATGGCCAAAGAGTGAGGATTTTGGCACCTCTCAACTCCTTCATCTTCCGAGTCACGTGCGCTGTGACGTCAATGGGGGTCGCGCGGGGTTCCGGTGAAGCTCTCTCTTAAAAGGTTAAAACAGCGCAAAAAACGACGGAAGATGGTGGCCGTCGTTTTTTGCGCTGTTTTAACCTTTTAAGTATGTCATACCAACTCGCCCAGGCTTCAACTTTAGCAGCTCTCTCTCTCTAGAGCCATCAGTGAGCAGCGAGAACTCATCCGCTCGCGACCGCGTGACCACGTGCTGGCGTAGCGCGAACAATATAGTTAGAACACTAAATATGGTGAAAGGAGGAAATCGTCATCCGGGTCCGGCCATCCCCGTCCCACTCCGGCTTCTGGAATCTGGCGGCTGTTCGCGGCAGCAGATAGAGCTGACGGTTTTGTGAACCTAGGATAGATGGGGCCACTAAAACTCCGCATAATAAAAGTTTTGTCGATGGTACCAGGGTTTTGACGCATTTATATTTATGTTGGGACGACAAGATTTATAGAAAAGTTGCCTTTTATCGAGCAGGTATTCGCACAACTTGCTATCTTTCTACAAGACCCCCATTGACGTCATACCGCATGGTTCTCATGGCCGCCGCTCGCGGCTGCAGGTCGGGGAGTTCTCATTTTTGCCTCGTGATTACGCGGTGGAATCTCAACATTTCAAAGGAAGGTGTGTTTTCTGTCCTTTGTGACAAGATGAACAATGTCAGAAGTAGACGATGCAAATTCTTTCAACGTTAAAATCGTTGCACAGCTCCTTTACAGAGTAACTGCAAAGAAAATAAAGTGTCAAAACAAATCTGCGAAAACAATTTCTTTTTAGCAATATTTACGCTACAGGACCTAATTTAGTCGGAGTCACAACCTCTCCACATGGCAAAAGCGGTGGCTTACGGACACCCAGGTGGCGGGTGGGAATCCCGGCCGAGGTGCCCGCAGTCTGACGGAGCGAGCTTTCGGTTTCACGTTAAATTATCCGTACAAATTAATCCTCAGTCTTCCGCTGGGGCGTGCCATAAATGCCCCTCGATGGTTTGACCGGTTTGTCACGTAAAACCCCCAATGTTTCCTTCTTTTTTTTTTTCTTTTTTTTTTACTAGGTTCCCCAGGATCGAGGGTGAAACAAGGAGACGGCAGGCTCTTTAATCGACCGGAAAAATCGGTTTCTTAACCTATCGTGCTACGACTTTGTGCAGCGTTGCCCACAGATGGTGCATTTTTTTTTGTAAAATTTGCAAAGAGCGAACTTACCTGAGGAAAAAGTAAAGAAAGAAAAAGGCTTAGCTCCTATAGAAACGCAGCGACGCCACCGGTCTGCAAACAACACGGCGCCGTTCCGCACGGGAGACAAGAGATGGCGCAAGCGGTCGCGACGCCAACGAGCCTCCCTAACGCCAACAGCCGCCAACAAGCGAGCAGACGACGCCGAGAGCCGGCCCTTTTGCAGACAAGGAACTGCAGTTCCTTGCTGTTACCGCGCCTGTCTTTTTTGTTTCTGCGACTGTCGCCGCCTGCGGAACGCGCGCCGCTTTTGAGTCGAAAAGATCGTCTGCTAAAAAGGCCTGCTCTCGGCGCCATATGCTCATTTGTTGACTGCGTTTGTTGCGCAATCTCTTGTCTATCGTGCGAAACGGCGCCGTGTTGTTTGCAGACCTGTGGCGTCGCTGCGTTTCCATAGGAGCTAAGCCTTTTTCTTTCTTTACTTTTTCCTCAGGTAAGTTCGCTCTTTGCAAATTTTACAAAAAAAAAAAAAAAAAAAAGCACCATCTGTGGGCAACGCTGCACAAAGTCGTAGCGCGATAGGTTAAGAATAGGGGTGTCGCGAACCGGTCGCGTATCGAGTTCGACCAGGTTCGACTTTTTCGAACTTTTAGTGGAAAGTTCGACGAACCTTGTATTGAGGTTCGACTCGTGTGCGCATGCGCGACAGGCTGGCCACTTGGCTTCGGATTGGATGGTAATGGCTAAGAGATGAATTAAGTGCAGCGCTGATTGGCTATTTCAGTCAATACAGTACTAAAAATTAAGTTATTAACTTCTTCAGTGATTAGAATTAGTTTCTTTTAATTGCAGCTGTTCACAAAATAAAATAACCCCTTGCATAAAAAAAATTCTCCAAACCTAGACATGCTTGTATTAAGGTCTGGCCACACTGTCGAACCGGCCGAATCTGGTGAAAAGTTCGAAGGTTCGTCGAACCGGTTCGACTCAGTAGAACCCCGGAAGTTCGACCAAAAAATCTGGCTTGACAAAAGTTCGCGACACCCCTAGTTAAGAAGCCAAATTTTCCGGTCAATTTAAAGAGCCTGCCGTCTCCTTGTTTCACCCTGTAGAACTGGGCAGTGTGTCGTCCGGTCGTCCACGCCGAGAAGCAACGGAGGGAGGAGGTCGGCGCAGCGATGAGGGCGCGCAAGGACGGCAGGGGGCGCTGCGGGTAACAGGCGTGCTCCTTCACGCTCGGATTGCCGTGTTGTCGTACTGCTGCTTGTGATCGCGCGGTTCGCGTCGTCGCTTTGTTTTGCTGCAGTTTTTTTTAGATGCGGAGCATCTCTTGCTCGGGCTATGTCCCGCGGCGTCGTAGTCCGCACTCACACTACGCATGCGCAACTCTCCTCGCTGCGCGTGCGTTCTCTCTCTCTCCAACAGCTGCGCGAAGTGCACGCAGCTACCAGCTGCGTCCCTCTCTCCAACAGCTGCGCGTGCGTTCTCTCTCTCTTCAACAGCTGCGCGAAGTGCACGCAGCTACCAGCTGCGTGCACTTGGCGTGCGTTCGCTTCTACTCACACCGCGCGCGCAGGCGCAACTCTCCTCCTCTAGTTTCTTCTCCTTCAGCGGTAGCGCGCTGCTCGCGTTCAAGGGGAGGAAGTGGACGACGATTCCACTTCCGGCCGCCGAAGCGTACGGACGTGAGATGTCTGGCTCCGAAGGAGCGGTGTCAGCGGCCCACGCCGGCCGCGGTATCAGGGCTTCCGATAATGAAGATTACCAGGTCATGCTGCCTCCCCTGC